TTTTTTGTTTGTTTGTTTTGATTTTTCTTTTGAGACTGAGTCTCGCTCTGTCACCCAGGCTGGAGTACAGTGGCACAATCTCAACTCACTGAAAGCTCCGCCTGCTGGGTTCAAGAAATTCTCCTGTCTCAGCCTCTGGAGTAGCTGGAATTACAGGTGCTTGCCACCACATCTGGCTAATTTTTGTATTTTTGGTAGTGACAAGGTTTCGCTACGTTGGCCAGGCTGGTCTCGAGCGCCTAACCTCAGGTGATCCGCCCCCCTCCACCTCCCCCAAACTGCTGGGATTACAGGTGTTAGCCACCATACCTGGCCTACGTTATAAAAAGCTTAAAGCAGATGAGATCAGTCTTAAATCATCCGCATTTCAGCAGTACCCACAACATTTCACTTTCTCACTATAAAAATTGTGACTGGATATGAATTAAAGTTACTGCCACTTGGCAACCCCACACTATTTAATATATATACAGTAATGAGAGCTACTAATGTTTTCAATATGCCGCATGTGGACCATCACTGGACATAAGATAAAGAAGCAGCCAGAGAGAATATATATTCAGTATGTGGAATTTCGTCAACATTTTTTTCACAATCCAAACTCTAAATTTAAAGAAAACCTAAGTGCTCTTTGGGTAGATTAGAATCATTTTACCACTTAACAGGAAGGAGTCTAGGGCCACCCATTTTAAGGGTAAAAAATAAAATAACTGATCACTTCAAAGCTGAAATCGGACTGTTACTTTTTTTTTTTTTGCAAACGTTAAAAAGACATTATAGCCTAAGAATCTGTCAAATACTGCATTAAGATTATAATACCCACTGGAAATACTTACTGTAACTTCAACCTTATTACCACTGTGAGGGTAAAAACCATGCTAAAGCCAAGACCCTTCCAGGAGCTAAACGCTCTTGGAAAGTTTCCAAGACAATGTTATAGTAAATTTCCAACTTGTATCATCTAAGGTCAAGGAAAAGAAATTATCTAAAGCACTGGATTATGTTTGAAAACACTGTAACTAAAAGTTTTACATCAAATAATCCCATGGAAAAATCTTTACTCTGCACCTATGATGGGACCTAAATCCAGTACGGGCAATCTAGGAGAATAGCTGCACCTAGGAATCCATGCTATGTATTTCTTAATAGTATTTTGAGAAAATTTTCAATATTGATGTATTCCATTCTGAGAGAAGTATATTTTGACAAAACCTGCTAAAATAATGTTTTGGAATGATACTGAAAATCTCCATAGCTTCTATAATGTGGACAACATGTGCTGGTTACTCTTTGGTTTCTAGCTTAAAACTTCAAGGTTTCCTGCTATTTGTGGCTCAGATTCTTTCTTACGGGAGGCATGTCTGATAGATACACACCAATTTCATAAATAAACATAAAGGTATTTTATGTGTGAGTGCATGTGTGGGTATACACATATGACCCTCCAGACAAGCCATGATTTTCACTCACAATATTTTAATAAATAACAGTTCTACTAAAGTGAGAAGTAAAGAAAAATCTAGCCAAAGAATAGCAAAATGAGCTACAAAATTAATTCCAGAAGCCAAAAAACTAAATAAAGCAGGTTCACAAAACAAAACCAATACATTTTCAATGAACACTATTTGGTTTATCTATAAATGTTCAAGTATTTAAAAAGTTGAGTGGTATGCCAACTTTCACTTATGACAACATTCTACATAAATACCTAATTCCCAAGATAAATAATTCCTTTAAAGAGCTATACACAAAAATAAGAGAAGCAAGAGCTACAATGAAATGAACAGAATCAATGACATGGTGGCTATGTGAAACACTAAATGTGGGTTGTACAGAATATAGTATACAGGAGACTCAAAATGCATAAATTAAGCCTAAATAATCCTAACGTATTCAATATCTCTGAAACAAGCAATACAATTCCAATCAACACTTGCTACAAAAATTACCATAAGGTGGTTGCTTCTATTTTTTAAACGATGTAACAATGAGAGATTTGTTGTCACATATTTTGTAACTTACCAACACTGAGCTATTAAGTTTCTATTAGCCATGTTTTAACAAAGGATTTGAGCTAAAAGACTGAAATCTGTTCATACAGCAGTGAAAACGAAGCCTCACTAAAGGCATTCAATATCCAGCTAAGGGCTCCTTTCCTAGATACATATTTGTGACCACAAAGAGTGTTCACTATATGCAGTACAGTGAACTAGCAACAGATTAGTTAAAAGCAGTTTAGATTTTCAACTTCCCGTAATACAGGCAACATCTTTAGAAGCAATCCCATTAAAAGAAATGTGTCTTTCACAGTTACAGGATGAAATTTTAAGATGGACAAGTACCAATGCCCTGGTTTTCTACTTTTTTTGTAAGCCATATGACTCCCACATGCTGAGAATGTTTTATGCTTTAACCTGCAGTAAAGGCTTTACATCATTTTAATGCCCAGTGCTTAAAATGCAACAGAATCACCCACAACGAATGCTAGGAATATATCTGGCTTACAGGCAATGATTCTCATCCCGCTGGTAGCCAGAAAAAAAAGTTTAATGAATGTTTTTCCCAGTAAATAACTTTGCATTTCCATAGACAAAACAAAAAGAAATTTTGAGGTAAGGATAGGTGGAAGAGAAAACACTCATGTTTTTCCAATTCCAAATATTAACAAATATGTGGGTTTTTTATTTCTATAATAATTATTAAATATTTTTTTAAAACTCCATGACTGTTATGTTTCAGAAAAATAAAACAAAACACTCCATTAAGCAGTTACATAGGATTTTTCTTCAGCTTTTGCAAAGTAATGTTTCAAGTTAAGATACAAGCTTAAAACAAATGATTCTGAAAATTCTGGTCTATCACAAACTAAAGACTTAGTTTTGAATCAACATATTGTATATTCTACATCTGAGATTTAGAAACCACATTTTTTTTTCCTAGTCAGATCAATTGAAATATACATGCTTCCTCACTCTTACAGTCCCCCTTATCTGTGTGAATGACCAACAGCAAAAAGTTCAAATCAATGGTTATAAAATACACAGTCTATTTATGTGGTTTTCAGTTATCATAAAATCTAAAGGTCCCTTACTAATGATAGGTGGCAGATTCAAGAATTGGTAAGTTTGGGGAATATATTCAATTCTCAACAGTCTAAATAGAAATTATGCCAATTTCTTTATTTTAAAAATCCATTACACTAAAAAATACTGTCACATAAAAAGTGTTACTGAAGAACTTATAAGGAAGTACAAATATGTGATCTTACATTCTCCTAGTACGTTATTAAAAACTGAGAAATAAGAGATGTGGCAATACTTTCTTTTTCACTCTATTTGAAATTTGAAAAAAATTTAGAATTCAAATTTCCCAACTCTGACTTAGAAACATAATTCAACTAGATCAAGCAACTTAGTTGAACAATTTTAAAATAAGTTTAATGCAAAGCACTGCAATCCTGATGTGATAATTACCTGCGGCATAAATGCAAAATAACAAATGCATTTAATGATGCATTTTCTGGGAAAACCACAAAAAGCACAACCATATTAGCACAAACTAAATAAAAAGGCACAGGCGGTATTATGCTCATCAGAAAGAGAAATGTACTAAGCCAAGAAAGAAAGGAAGGACTAAAAGAAGGAAGGAAGGAAGGAGGGAGGGAGGGAGGGAGGGAAGGAAGGAAGAGGGAAGGCTTCTATACCTGCAGGATCCCAGAGAAATGAAGTAGTCACATCATTCTACCCTATATGACACATGGGTGTATTTTTTTTTTCTTTTAAGCTTCAGCGTAAATAAAAATAGTAATTGCTTTATACCACTCAACTTTACATAGTGGTATCTTTAATGTCAACTGCATTCTTCCCTTCACTCACCCGATGCTTCTTCACGGTTCCATTCCACCAGCTTTCAGGCAAATGCAAGGCAGAACAGGGTGGAGTAGAAGAAAAATACAAGCAGCGCCTTTCAGCACACCCCCCCTCGCGCCCCGCAAATAATTTCCAACAGTTCTTCCCACTACGAAAATGAGTCGCCCTATCTCAAGATACACAACAGACATTCTGTCCCTTTAGTAGACACACACAGACGCGTCCACAACCCAGCACTCCCTACTCCCACCCCAGGCCCCCCGCATCTTCGACAATTATTCATCTATTTCACACGAAGACAGGACACCTCTACCTACTGTTTCGGGGTGAAGGTGGGTGGAGGACGCCTTTCAAAGTAGCCCCAATCGTGTCACCAAAACACAGTTCCGGAATAAAATATTAAGAAACACTTTTCCTTTCCCACCTATCTACTGACTTGAAGGTGCAAAAAAAAACCCATCTCCACATCACACCATCGCTACAGTGCTCGTGGCTGGAGTTTGGGGTGGAGATTCGTCCAGGGAGGGGGCGGCGGCGGGTGGCGGAGTGTGAGCGGACGGCGGGACCCGAGCGAGTTGCTGAGCCCGGCTGCCCCGCACCACGTCGCCAGCCCAAACGCCCAGCACCGAGACCTCACGCCCGCCCCTTAGCCCAGGCCCAGAGCGAGCGAGTCCGCGCTGTCTAACTTCTCATCTGCAAACACCGCTCCAAGGCGAGCAGAGCACACAAGTACACGTCACACAGTTTCCAACACACTTACCCCAAACAAACCCACACACCTGCAAATCACCTCACAGTTTCCCCAACTCCACACCGGAGACCCCACCTCCAGGATTCAAACCTTCCGCTCATAGTGGAGGAAACCGGGAGGAAAGACTTGGGGGGCAGTCGACGCCTTTCCAGGACCGGCCCCCACGAACTGCCCCACCCCACAGCCCGCGTCCGGGTCACCCGCTCGGAAGCCCCCTGCTTCCTCCCTCCTTTCAAGCCGGCCGCTTACGAGACCCAAACCCAGCGTCCGCTCACTTCCTCCCCAAAACCCCTTCCAAAAAAAAAAAATTGTTTTAAGTGAAGAGAAAGAAGTGAAGAAAGAGACTTGAGGTAGTCCGGCTTCCAAACCGCTCGACTCACCTCAGAATCCTCGCTGAGTTCTCTCCGCCCGGCACAGCCCCCTCCCCAACGTCCCAGTACGGATGGCTGAGGTAGGGAGGAGGGAAAGCAGAAGGGGGAGGGGTGTCTTCCGCGTGGGGCGCCCGTCGGGAGGGGACTGGGGAGGGGTTGAGGCCGGCGCAGGAAGAGGAGAAGGGGGAGGGGAGGCCCCTATCTCCCAGTCTCCCCCTGAAAACCTCCCTTGTCTCAATCACATCAGACTGACTGTCTTTGTCTGGCTGACAACCGCCATATTGATATCAACAGCCCCGCTCCCACCTGCTGCCGCTGCGCGTTCCTGGGAGTTGTAGTTCTTGCGTCCCCCGAGTAAAAGCGCGTAGCCTGGCGCCTAGAGGCCTCAGAGAACTACAACTCCCGGCAAGGCCCGCGCCCATCCGCCTTCTCTGTGGGAGGAGGGGAAAGGGGAGTCGGAGCCGTCAGGACTACACATCCCAGAGTACCATGGGCCCCAGGCCCGTACGGGGACATGATATCATGCTGGGGTGGAGAGGGAGGATGCAGTGGCGGCGGGGATGAATTTGAGCTTACGGAAGGAGGCGTTCGGAGAGGAAAGAGAGGAAAAGGAAAGACGACCACAGTTCCCATGATGCCTGGCAGAATACATTTCCCATGATTCCCCTGGAAAAGACGTGAGGATGAAAGACTGCAAGTCCCGCGATGCTCTCGGCGGGCAGGTGACGGAGATTGCACCGGAAGACGCTTCCAGGGTTTGAGGAGTTCAGTGACTGCTATTGAACCACCAAAAGTCCATTATGAAACTGGTGAGTCTTCGCTCCTAGGTCAGAGGACAAAGGTGATGCTATATCCTTTGGACCTCTTTTTTTCTACGTTGGGCAGGGAGTCGTCGCACAGGAGGGGTGGCAATTAGGGAGCTGAAAAGTGGAGTGGGCTAAGGAAAGCTGCTTTTTGTTGTTGAGAAGGGTTGAATTCCCCTTCCCGTCCCCGCCATCCCCGCCAGGCGGTCTTTCTACACTCATTGGTGATTCCTAATGTTCAGACAAGACGTTGGCTCTGTCACAGTCCTTCCCCGATGATCTCTGTGGGCTCGGTTAACCAAGTTTGGACTTCCTGGCTCCCACGTGAATGTTATAATAGGCTATTAACCCCTTTGCACTCGATTGGCACCTGAGTAGCCTGCCTGCCTACCGTTGTTGAGACTTTGGCTGGATATAAGCAGAGTGTAAAAAACATTTAGCAGAACGTAATCACTTACTAAATATCCTGTTATATGGACTCCTAACTGCCCTTGAAATTCAGAAGGACGAGGTCAGAGTGTGGAGAAGTTGAGTCTTTAACCCTGCGTGAGATTTAGATGGGCAGAGAAGTGTTACTGTATTTCATTCTAAGGCTGTAGGCACTGCATGAGCCAAGGCTGAATGAACCGTGCCTGTATACCTGAAGTCTTAGCATCACACAGCTCAAGCACTTGGCTCATTGGAAGACTTGAGACCTTTGATTTGAACCATTTGACTCATTGTGCGCACAGGTCTAACTAATTTATTCCAACTCTATTCAATTAGTAATAGCACAGAGTAGAAAAGCAGGTGTGAAATACTGTCTCCCTTTAAAACCCGTACTCGTGCAGCCAAGTTATTGTCAGGCTTTACTTGAGGCAGGAGAATCGCTTGAACCTGGGAGGCAGAGGTTGCAGTGAGCAAAGATCGTGCCACTGCACTTCAGCCTGGCAGCAGAGTGAGACTTCGTCTCAAAAAAAAAAAAAAGGTGTTTTTTTCCCCCATTTATATAATTATTTTAATATGCTTTTCCAAACCACACAACCCACCTATCGTCATCTTGATAATTATTGTGCTAAAGACATGTACTCTGCAAAGCCAGCTGTTTTCTGAGAAGTCAAAGTATTAAAACTGGATTCAGTTCTGAAATTGTCTCCATATAAAGCTATTTATATAAGGGGAAGGATGAAGTCATAGCAGTTTTCCTATAGAAGCATGTAACCTAAGAAGAAGATAGGAAAGTAAACCAAAGTTGTTATTTATTTATTTAGAGACAGGGTCTGGCTCTGTGGCCTAGACTGGAGTGCAGTGGCATGATCTCAGCTCACTGCAACCTCCACCTTTTGGGCTGAAGCCATCGTTTTGCCTCAGTTTCCCCATGTAGCTGGGAATACAGGTACATACTGCAGCACCATGCCAATTTTTTTGTAGAGACAGGGTTTCATCAAGTTGCCCAGGCTGGTCTCGAATCCCTGGACTCAAGCCATCTGCCTGCCTTGGCCGCCCAAAATGCTGGGATTACAGGCGTGAGCCACTGTGCCTGACCCAAAATTATAATTCGCTGTGTTCATGGTAAAATAGAGGTGTGTTTAGGGTTTTGGGAATTGAGAGGAAAGAAGATTGGGGAGGTCAGGGGACAGCTTCCAGGAAAGGTGACTCTTGAACTGATAAGGATAAGTAAGCCAGGGCCGTCCATGAAAAGAGGTCAGCTTATAGGAGCCTAAGAGCTTGGTACCTTATTAACTAGTACACGGACCCTGTTCTCAGTAAAGAACAAATTATATTTGGTGTGTTTGGTTTAAGAAAGCAGGGAAGTGTGAACTAGTTTTCCCATAACAACTCATTAGTGAGGGGATCGGAAAGCCAGGGTCTACGTTACATATACTTTGCTCTCAAAATCCTCCTGCCTGATTTATTTAGAAATACGAAACCAGGGAAAAGAAAGAAGTGAAAAAAAAGTGAAAAATTATTTTTTTCCATTAAGAACCAAAGATGTCTCAGAGGAAAAGGAAGTATTCTATTGATATTCATACTCTCTGTTTACTTTGCAACTATGTATAAAAACTTATTTGGTAGTTGATAGATAAATGTAATTGAGAATTCCCATCAACATAACAAAAGCAGTGTTGCTCAGTAAGTTAGATTGGTGTGGCATGCCTCCCAAATGGTTAGAATAAGTCCTCTCATGGCCTGAAATTTTTAATTTTGTGTACTGCTTCAGGAATATGTGACAGGCTGTGTTTTAAATTTATAATTATGAAACAAAAATACATTTTGTTTACTATTTTCTTGTTTTTGCGATTGACTTTCCAGAGGACCCATCCCACACACAATCTACGACCACCTCTTACTGATCCTACTTTCTAAATTAAGCTCTCTTAAATAGGTTCTGTTTCTCTCCAGTCCAACCAGAATAGTGTCTCTGTAATAGGCTCTTTTCGCTTAAAATTCAACCAGACCCTTATCTGGTCTCCCTGCATTCAGTCTTAACCTTCATTCATTCTTTCCTCTGCATCCCGAAGTTATTTTAAATTGCAGAGTTCCATGAAAGCCTCTCATTATCTTTCTTTGCCCTTAGGATAACTTCTTAGGCTTAACTTGGTTGAATAAGTTCCATTGCCTGCCTCACTCTTTTTTGCCTGGCTGATTTCTTCGTATGTTTCAGAACTCTTAAGTAACACTTCTTCAGGGCTTCCTTGAAGTAAGTACCCCTGTCATATGCTTGATGGTATACTTCCTATTTGTAGCACTTGTAATTATTGGCCTGTGTCTGTCCTCCCTCATGTAGACTCTATTCCCTGAGCCTGCACATAGAGTAACCAGTGACCCTACTAAATGGTAATTCAGTAAATAATTTCTGAAGGCTGATGGGTGCAGTGGCTCATGCCTGTGATCCCAACACTTTGGGAGGCCCAGGCAGGTGGATCACGAGGTCAGGAGACCAGCCTGGCCAATATGGTGAAACCCCTTCTCTACTAAAAATACAAAAAATTAGCCAGGCGTGATGGCAGGTGCCTGTAATCTCAGCTACTTGGGAGGTTAGGCAGGAGAATTGCTTGAATCTGGGAAGTGAAGCTTGCAGTGACCGGAAACCACGCCACCGCATTCCAGCATGGGCAACAGAGCGAGACTCCATCTCAAAAAATAATAATAGTAATTTATGAAGGCTTATCAAGGTCTATGAGAAAAGATTAAAGAGTGATGTTTAAAGGATTACAATAAGCAGTAACCATTGGAAGTAAAAAAAAGTAATGATTGCTACCTTTTATAAAGCAATTATCGTGTGCCAGGCAATGTACTAAGTATTTGCTATATAGTTTCCTGTTTAATCCTTTGATTCAGGTGACAGTATTCCCATTTTACAGACAAAAAATGTGAACTTCAGGGAGGTGAAGTAAGTGGCTCAAACTTAGCGTAGATTAAAAATGATAGAGTCAAGATCTAAACCCAGGTCTCCCTGTTATTTAGTGAGGATGGGAAATCTAGCGCGCTGCACCATGCCTACGTTAGTGCTTAAAAACAGAAGGTAGAGTGCATACTAAAAATGTATTTAAGGTTATTTTTAAAATTAGCTTTAAATGCCAGTGTGGTTCAATTAAGATCTTCAGGCCAGGTGCAGTGGTTCATGACTGTAATCCCAGCACTTTGGGAGGCGGAGCCAGGCGGTTGGCTTGAAATCAGGAGCACTAGACCAGCCTGGGCAACATGGCAAAACCTGTCTTTACAAAAGACAAAAATTTGCTGAGCATGGTGGCAGGTGTTTGTGTTCCCAGCTACTTGGAGGGCTGAGGCAGGAGGATAACTTGCACCCAGGACGTCAAGGCTGCAGTGAGCTATGATGGCACCACTGTATTCCAGCCTCGGTGACAAAGTGAGGCCCTATTTGAAAAACAAAAGACCAAAAAAAATTTTTTTGAGGTTATTGGCTAAAAAAAGTTGTTTTTTAAGTTTGGGAAACTTTCTTCGTGAAAGACCCCCATATCAGAGCATACCAATTTGGTATTGAAGTTATTTTTTTTATATTCCAAATTTAGCTTCTGTGATACCATTTATAATTCTCTAACTTTGCACATCACCCTCTTGGTGGCCTTTCATACACCCACATGAAAACAATGGATGTCATTATAATGTAATACTTGGATATCTCCTTCCTAGATACCACCTCAAAGGATTTCAATGGCCTTCTATATTTATAATATGCAGTATTCAGGCAGCTTTATTTAACTGAAGAAAATTCATTGGCATTTTCAATTAACCAGAATGATTTTAGAAAGCAGAGGAAAATTAGAAATGTATCTTTTAAATTAGCACATTTTAGAGCATGTTCTGTTATTTGTATAGTTTGAGCCTAATTGGGTACCCTGATGGCCAGTTCAGCTAAGGATAGAAACTGGAATTGACAAAGGCCCTTACCGAAAGACCATGGAACAAAAAATTCTGAGCACATTGACAGAAATTAAGTTTGAAGCATCATGGCCAGGAATCCAGTCACTTAAACAGATGAAGAATCAAG